TCATCTAGAGAGTGCTGTAGAAGCAAATTTAAAAATTGCAACGCGACTTTTTTAAGCCCAACCCCGATGAACGCAATAAAAAGCAGACACGCTTGCTTTAGGATGTGTCCAAAAATAGATGGGAGGAAGTGTCGTCAGGGGGGGGGGGGGGAGGTGTCGTCAGGGGCGACACAGCGGATTGAAGGAATGTTAAATGATGGCGAGAGATCGACATTACTTACATACCTGAGTTTACGGTGATCACGTGGTGTCGGGGACCACGGGGTCACTAGGAGCATCATCATGACAGCCCAGCACGTTGGCTTTGTTCAACTGTGTCGATCTCGGCCTGGTAGTGGATATAGGCCTGGTAGTGGATGTAGGCCTGGTAGTGGATCTAGGCATGGTAGTGGATCTAGGCCTGGTAGTGGATGTAGGCCTGGCCTGGTAGTGGATCTAGGCATGGTAGTGGATCTAGGCATGGTAGTGGATCTAGGCCTGGTAGTGGATGTAGGCATGGTAGTGGATCTACTGGTAGTGGATCTAGGCCCAGTAGTGGATCTACTGGTAGTGGATATAGACCCAGTAGTGGATGTAGGCCTAGTAGTGGATCTAGGCCTGGTAGTGGATGTAGGCATGGTAGTGGATCTAGGCCTGGTAGTGGATCTAGGCATGTTAGTGGATGTAGGCATGGTAGTGGATGTAGGCATGGTAGTGGATCTAGGCCTGGTAGTGGATCTAGGCCTGGTATTGGATCTAGGCATGTTAGTGGATATATGCCTGGTAGTGGATCTAGGCCTGGTAGTGGATCTAGGCATGTTAGTGAATGTAGGTCTGGTAGTGGATGTAGGCATGTTGGTGGATGTAGGCCTAGTAGCGGATGTAGGCTTGTTAGCACTTTAGCGCTCTACCCCTGATGCCAGATATATACTGGCTATCTTAGAAGTCGTCCTGTGCCAGTACATGTCGCATCATTCGTCGTAATAACAACATAGACAAGACAGTGGGGACTAGATCTAGTAGAATCGTTATTTGGTAAGGAGGCACCAAAACGGGTAGCTTAAAAACTTCTTTAAATGATCTTATTTAATACATCGAATTACATCTCTCGTTATTAAAGCTAACTGTAGGCCGTTTAATACTATTTTACAAAAAGTAATTACATTAAAGCTCGCCAAAAAGTAAAGAAAACTTATTGTCATTACAATAAATTTTTAACTGTTTTAAAACTAATGCACTGTAGAACTTCCACTTCCTTGAAATGTAGGCCTACTATTACAGATCTCAACTTCTAACTTAAATAATGAAAAGAAAAAACGTTTTTTTTAAACTGCTGCATTAAATTTAATGAAACTAATTATTTTTATTAACTGACATGACATTAAGTTAAAGAAAAAATCCTACGAGAAACTATTTTGAGTAGCTCACGATGTGAAAATGTTATGTTGACAACTAATAGCGGGGGTAGTAAGCAAAATGATGGTGAATGTGTGTGTAGGACACTTATGTAAATATTTATACAGTAGTTCACAGTGACGGCGAACTTTAAAAGTAGAGCCACTTTCGTGTATAATTTAGGTTGTGATTTAAAAAAAAAAAGTATTTACGAACATGGAGTTTATTTTTTGTTTCTTTATCCAGTTTAATTTAGAAAAGTTTGAGTTAAACAAATCACAAGTGCGTGTGTGTTGAAGTGTATTTACATGTGTGTGTGTGCGTGCATGTGTGTGCGTGCATGTGTGTGTGTGGCTAAAAGTTGAGTACCAGTTCCTAGCATGGCATGACTCACGCCCAGCGAGGACGGTGGCTCCATTCATCTCCAGAGTGCGTGCTAGTTTTTGGGTCAACCGACATGGGGTTTTTAAATACCATGTTACCCCATGCACTGATGGAAGAATCTAAGTCGCTTGGTGGTTAGAAATATATCCCAGGACTTGGATACATTTTTTGTGGGTAACCGATGTCATTCGTTTTGTACTTGGGGGGGGGGGGGGGTAGTGTGACATATCCCGAGACCTAGGTACAGTTTTCTGTGTAACCGATGTCATTCGTTTGGTACTGGGGGGGAAGGGGGGGTGGGTAGTAAGAGAACTAGGTACAGTTTTCTGTGTAACCGATGTCATTCGTTTGGTACTGAAGGATATTAAGACATACCCCTAGACTTCGTTCGGGTAAACTTCTGTTGGCTAAAAAAAAATTGTTGACAAAATAAGCGTACATGACTCGTGCTATAATATTTAAGGAAAACAGTTTAAATTCTCATTAACTTGTGTGAAACAAATACTTTTTTTAAATTATTTCCTAAATGTAGTAATAACAGCGTGTTTACAAGTTTGAAGCTGCAAGAAAGATGTCAGCTTAGTTCTCGAACATTCTGTACTGACAAGTCCAAAAACAAAAGCAGGGCAATGACGTAAGAAGACGTAGGCCTACAGCAGACGAACACACACAACAGTGGGGGGGGGGGGGGACTAATTCGCACAGAGGCTTGCTCGTGATAAAAAACTGACTTGTATTTTGAACAGTATGTAGAAATATAATTGGTCAGTCCACTTCAGCACCCAAATAACGTTTTTCTGCTTCTGTAAACAGGTTTAATGATCTTTTTATACAAACAATCCTCCCCCCCCCCCCAAGAACTCACTCAGCTACCCTGTATACTTTCTAATACAGTACCATTGATCCCTGAGTTCTAATTTAAGTACGTTTATGGTGATCATGTGATGCAGTTTAAAAAAAAAAATTAACATGTATGGCATAATCTACTGAACAAAACCGTGTTGTATTTTTAATTATTAATGTAAGAGATTTAACTCCTCAAAAGAAATGTAATTTTTTTAGATTAAAATTCAATGATAAAAAACAACGTCCAGTTTAGGCTACCGTAGAGCAGTGGCGTAGGCAAGGGGGGTTAGGGGGAGTCATAACCCCCCCCCCATAGACCCCTCGGTATATATATAAAGTATGAGGGGGGTGTAGTGTAAATAAAAAGTTTGAGAGGGGGGGGGATGCAAATCGAAAGTTTGTCCCCGGGTAAAAAATTTGAACCCCCCCCCCCCCCCCCCCATGAGACGATCCTGGCTACGCTACTGTCGTAGAGATAGGGTTAAATAGTATGCAATAGTTTACACTACAGTTGGCCATTCACAACCTACACTGGCGTATTTGTGTCGTGTTATCACGTGCTGATCAAGCCCACTGGCCCACTACAGGGATGTTTACAGCACGTCAACATTGCCGCGTGAACGCTGAATATTTGCATACCCAGTTATAGGTCATTGGTTGGCGGAGGGGGAGACGAATATTCAAAAACGAGGGGCAAAGCACATTAGGCCCTACTGGCACACTAGAGATCATACACAACATACACACATAAGCCTTGACTCCAAGATACAAAAAGATGCATATGTAAATAGTTTAAAAAAATAGATAATTATTTTAGGACTGGTAGACCTACAAACTAATTTTCATAAACAACTCAGATGGTTCTTAAAAGGCCCAATCAACATAATAATATAAGTCATGCACGAAGCTCAACTTGCGCCCATTTATCTCGTAGGCTAAAGACAAGTCAGCGGTATAAAACCAGGTCTATGATGTACCGCCACAGGTACAGGATACATATTCACCGTGACCTTTGAGTTCACACTACCCCATGGCTTTTAATCTAACAGGAAAAAGTAACTGGTGAATCAAGGTAACCAGGCCTGTTCTGACGGACCAATAGTGACTCTCAATTACTTGGTCTATTAGTGCTATTGCTTACACAGCACGAACTATAATTAAACGATTTTAAAAATATCTTCTAAATGGAGAGAAATTGATAGTAATCATTCATCAATACCAAAAAGGTCAATTTATAAATATAATAAACCACAAACAAATTATCTTTAAACTAAACAATTTAAATATTAAACGCGATTCCCATTTTAAATACGGATATCAAATCTCGCCAACATTCATGCATCTGTATCATTAAAAAAATCAGAGTTTCTTCCAGGCATCTCTTCGGGGAGAAAATTCGGGGAAAATTTTTTACCGCCCCCCCCCCCCCCCGAACGAAATGAAATTTATATAATTTATATAGAAAATATATACTTTTTACAGTGTCCGCCCCCCCCCCCCGAAAATTTCAAGTAAATAGATCTATACCCTAACTAAATGATAATCGCCATTTTACTTTTTAAAATACAAAAGTGATAGCGTAATCACTTCTTTTTATAGCATACTACTACTAGAACTAGATTTCTACTACTCTATCAAAATACAATGCGAGTATAATGGCCCACAAAAATCTCAAGTCCCAGGGAAAAAAAGATGAGCAATTTCTCTAATATAAAAAGACACGGACTCTACACCGGTCTGATGTTGGATCAATACAGCAAGAAGTAAGAGAGGGGAGACGCTGAGTCAAAGACCGAAGCTTTCAGTTGTGTTTCAGCCAATCTCGATTATCAAGTCATTTCTTCAGGCAAAATAAAAATGGAATTAGGGCCTAGGCCTATTCAAATAATTTTACTATGTTTCACAAAATGTGACATTAAAACCCTAGTCAAGGTATTTTAAAGATAATTCTAAATAAATCTAGATCTAAGTTATTACAGTTATTGTGCTAACTATGCATCAAATTTAATTTTTGTTAATTTTCGAAATTGGATTTGTACTTTAAGTGAGAAGTGATTTATTGTGTGCCAATGAATGGATAATTCGTTAAATAATCTTTTAGGTATAGTTTATACGGTGTGTTCTTTTTATTTTACGCTTATATGCCTGTATTGAAATTATTTATTTTACATTACACTAAACTACTGTCTCTAATAATTTGAAATATCGATTAGGCCCAAAATGTCTGTGCATCGAAACACAAGCTAGACTACGCAGAGCTGGTCTGAATTTTCTTTCATCAAACTCTCTTTGTCCACGAGAAAACGGGGGCACACACTAAGAGAAGCACGGGGACCCAGCTGATCGACTCATCGTTCCCTTCTTTGTGTGTCGCTCGGACCTTCGTAGGACAAAGGAATCGTTAGAAATCTTCAATAACATGGTGCACATATAATTTTCTTAAAATGTATTCTTTAAAATTTAACGGAGGAATATATCTATAATAAAAATACTGTCCGGATACACGTGGCTACTGTTTCTCAACAAATCCCGATTCATTCACGAAAATACATACAATGAAGTTTACGCATGGAGACTAGTTTACTACATGAGTCATCGGCCTTTCTCGGCATTTTCCGTATGTCGGTCCGCTGAAACACATTCAAAGAACCAATCGTCATCCAATATTGACATCAAACCGTCCAATCAAAAGGCTCTAACAACACCTCGTGGTCTTTTCCAACATGGCGGGTGAGTCCACCTCACATCATTTACTTTGTTTCATAAAAATTTGAACTTTTTGCGCCAATATCACAACTACTTCTTTATTTTTCAGATTTGGAATTTTATCAAGATGATTCCGACGAAAATACGGAGGATGGTAAGTTGTTTTTAAAATATAAACATTGCTTATTTCATTAATAGTCACGACCCCATAGAATGAAAGAAAATGTGCTCCCCAGTATGAGCCGTTATGAACGATCATTATGCCCTTACGCGCCGTCCATGTTTTCCCCCCTATCGTAATCGTGTTTTTTTCCATGTGTATTTCTAGGATAATAGTAATTTCTCTTTCTGTATGTGCATAAATAATATAACGTTTATTTTCGACTGGCTACTGAGTATTACGTATTCGTTAAAATTCGTGTAATGTGCTGTAGTGGGACTGATCCTCCATTTCATGATGGGGCGAGGTCATGTGACCAATCCTCCGCGACCTTTTCAACTTGGCCCGCTTTTCTTTTTCCCGCCACTGCTGCTGTTTTGAATAAGTCAGTCGGTTTAGTTTGGAGTTGCAAACATCTACAAGTGATTCTTACTCTGTTTAGTAGATAAACACATTTCTAACATATCACATTAGTAAGTACTTTATGTTTTATCGATCTAATAACTTAAACTTTTGTCATAATTTCCTTTGTGAAAAAGTTAAGCAAATTTCCAAAGTCGACGGCGTGGTTGACTCTGCTAAATTTTAAACTAAACAAGCGCCAAGGGTTGCTTTTGCAATTTGATGAACTTTAATCAGTTTCTATCGGCACTAGAATTTACACTTCAACATGTTTGCTGATCTAGATGTAGACTTGTAAATATTCGTTTTATATAAACGTAAGTTTGGAAATAGAAAAATTATTTACGTTGAAAATGTTTACTAAGCAACTTTTTTTTTTGTCTCCAATGTGACTTTTTTTTTAAAGGAATTTTTTTTTTAATTGTCAATAATTAAGATAGACTAGATCTAGATTCTAGATCTAAAATATTAGAATCTAGATCTAGATTATCTAAATTTAAACAAGATCACATAGGAAAAATATTTCAGATATAATTAATTTTCTAGATTCTAGATTAGATTCTAGGGTTAATTTTTATGCCCTCTTTAAATTCCAGGGGTTGCCGATGATTGATTTAATCAGAATCTCTAAATCTAGACTAGAGTCTAGATTCTAGATCTATTCTAGAAAAATCTAGATCTATATAACTTTTTTTTTTACAATGTCATAGATTTAGATCCATGCTACAACATTGATATTTTGTATTTTTTAAAATGAAGATTATGGATTTGACAGTGGCATGGGAGAAGTGGAGGATCTCACACCTCTTCAAAGGCTTGAGAAATACTTGGATAGTGATAACATATTTAACAGGTTATTGATGCAGTTTTTTCCAATTATTCCCTTTATGACTTAAGATCTATTTAATACAATCTTTATTCTCAGGCCAATTTTATTTAACTTTACAAATTTTAATCTAGACAAATGTTGGCAAGAAGTCTACTTGACACACTTCGGGCTGTTAGTGAAAATGAAGATATTTGTGTTGCAGTCCTTGATGCCATGTCTAGATTGTCAGAAGATCCTGGTAGGTTTCAGGTTTTTTAAAAAAAAAATATTTTTTGTAGCTCTTATATTGACTTGACTATTGCAGATTTTTGTTGCTCTGAACAGGTACTCTACCATTTAATAACACTATGGGGTGTTAAGAAAAGCATCTGGACCAACACTAACATTAGTCAAAATTTTAATAATCACAATCAGATAGTGGTGTGAAAAAAAATCACTATCCATACTATGTAAGGAATTTGAAAGGATAAGACCATTTAATTAGTAATGAAATATTATTACTTTTTCCTCAATTGCTGTTTTTTTTTCTTCTTCAGAACCCTCTGTGCGATCTGAATTGATGGAGCAAGTTCCTCATATTGCTGTATATTGTCAAGAAAATCGGCACATTTTTGAAAATGCAATACCACGTTATATTCTTCCCATGGTTGTGAGATATCTCAACGATGCTAACAGCCAAGTGAGCTTATTTTATTTATAAAAAAAATATATTATTTATAAATGTACTTTGTAATGTGAATTATGCGTCCTCCAACTCTCACTGCCTTAAGCCCTTATATGATTATAGCTTATTCTTTTCCTTATGTCAATACAGGTGAGAAAGACCAGCCAGGCAGCTCTTTTAGTTTTATTGGAACAAGAACTTGTTGAAAAATATGATGTAGAACAGCAAGTTGTCCAAGTTATTCTAGAATTGGCATCTCCTGAAAGTCTAGATGATTATAGATCAGAGGCTGCAGCAGTAAGTTGTTGCTCATGAGAGAGTTCATGCTTAGGTTACATTAATGATTTTCTGATTTTTAATAGCTTTAGTTTTAGGTGTTAATTATTTTCTTAGTGGAATAAGTCAAACTTTTGTGTAGAATCTTTTTTTTTGATACCAGTATGATCTTCTTGATTTTGGGCTTTATGGTGTGAAAGACATGGGTAGTGAGATGTTAGTGTCAGATCACCTTACTACTCTGTCTTTTGCATTAAAGAGCTGCATAATCTACTTCCAGTTACGTATGGATGGCTGCTAATTGTCAAGCCAACACCATCAATGCTGGATGTTATAGTAAATCAGTTTGGTCCTATCACAGCCAGCTTTGATGAGCGTTGTTATGACTTGTGGCATTGGTAACGAGAGGCTAATGCTAATATACATTTGTAAATGTTAGTTCACAAATCAGTTTGGTCCTATCACAGCCAGCTTTGATGAGCGTTGTTAGTCATTGGAGGCTAATGCTGATAATACATTTGTAAATGTTAAATGTTTGCATTCTGTACTGACCAGGTGGTTGGGATGTGTATTAAAACCATATCACAGCCTGCTTGGATCAGTATAGAGGCAAAGTTATGAGCCACGCGCAGTTTCAATTTTAGTACACAATTGCCGTTGAGGCGCGTCAGAGTGACTGTGATTTGTTGCCTAAAATCATATCACAGCCAGCTTTGATGAGCTTTATGGTAATATTATGTCAACAACAGATGGAGCAAGTTAAAAGAAACACATTTTTCTTGGGAATTACTACTTTCTGAGGCATCATAGTGATTGTGATGTGCTAACAGTTGAATTCATATCACAGTCAGCTTTGATGAGCTCAGGATTTGGAACAATTCTTCTTAGTTGTAATATTGTGTGTGTGTTGAATGTTTTGCTATTGTGCCTAAGAATCTTAAATGCTAAATGTCATAAGAGCCTGAATTGACAAGGTCAAGACCAGGCTACCCTGACGTCAAGGCGGTTGTGATGTGATGATGCTTTACATATCACAGCCAGCTTTGATGACAGGGATACCTATGAGCTGCAGAGATGTTTAAACAAATAGAAACATCACCTACTATTGCTTTTAAGGTATTTAACCGTAATACATTTTGTTCTGTGATTTTTGTTGAAAATGTTTTTTTAAATGGTTGGAATATTGGTCTAGGTATTTTTACCTCACCCCCACCCCTTCTAAATTAACATAGATTCTGATTTTTTCATGTGAATTTTAGTCTTTGTGTAATTATCAATCTTAAAAGCCTGATTTTTATTATGGCTGTTTAATTAGTAATTTTTTTTTTTTGTTGAGCACTATTTTAAAACATTTATTTTCAGCTCATGAGTAAAATGGCTCCATTGTTGGGCAAAGACATTACTGAACGTTTGTTTCTTCCGAGATTTAGTGAGATGTGTACAGACCCTTTATTTCATGTTCGCAAGGTGATAATATATTAAAATCTCAACTAAGTTGTTGGCAAATACTTATTTTCCCTAAAGTTTTTTATCAGGAGTAAAATTTTGTAGCTATGCTGAGGTTATTAAGAGGGAAGATAGCAATTTACACAACCCTCTTAATAACCTGTAATTAGTGTAATTGGAAACTGATAATCGAGAATCAATATTAATAAAAGAAATAATATTTATTCGTAAAGCATTTGAAATTAAAAAAAAAAATCAATACTTTATCAATAACCTAATTTAAATGTAAATATTTAGTTAATTGCAACCTAATAAAAAGTGCTTGGGGTGTTATTTCAATAGTGTGGTATCAGTAGTTACATTTGTTCCTCTTGAAATATTGATAGGTGTGTGCTGCTAATTTTGGAGAAGTGGCTAGTGTTGTAGGTGTAAAGAATTGTGAAGATGTTTTAGTAAGTATCACTTAGGGCTGAATATTTTTTTCTTCTATTTTTAAGTTTTATAGCAATTTTACTATTTAACTGGGTTAATTTTTAAACTAAAAGATTTTTAGCCAGCACAGTTCAGTTTTTAAATATTATGCTTTAAGATAAACATGCCACTTTTCTTTACCAAATAATTGTAGCTGTCATTTTAAATTAATAATGCTGTTGTTGAAATATTCCTGGTCTTCAGTTTTATAAAAAGTAGGGTACAAGTAGTTTGCTCAGTGAGAATGTTTTATTTCTAATTTTGTCATGAATGTAAAACTATTTGTAAAATTTAAATTCATGTTTAAGATATATTTTGGTATTGAAATGTACATAACTGTTTCCTAGCTGCCTCAGTTTTACTACCTTTGCGAAGATGGTGTTTGGGGAGTAAGAAAAGCCTGCGCAGAGTGTTTCATGACTGTTTCTTGTGCTTGTTCTCTTGAGACCCGTAGAAATGAACTTGCTGAGAGATTTGTTAATTTGCTATGTGATTCATCCAGATGGGTAAGTTTGTACTTTGTTGTGCCTGGGCTGAACTTTAATGTGTTTTGAACATTAAGTGGAATTAAATACAAGGCCTTTGTATTGATTGAAAAATCATCGGTTGTTAATGTAAGAGATGTACTTTTTTTTTATCAGAACAAAATATAAAAACTAACCTATTTGCAGTTAAGTTTACATAAGATGACAAAGTTTACACAGTTAAATAAACATGAAAACTTAAAAGTTACCACAAATTTCTTGCTTAAATTGTCCAGTTTGATGTTATTAAGTAGTTCAATTTTTCTTTTGATAGATTGCTTATGATATATGTTACAAAAGGTTCTTATTATGGGTATTAAATTATCACAGTACAAATTAAATACTTATCACAGTACTAAGACTACTTTTTCAAAAATGTCAAAGTTAATAAACATTGCATTTCAAGATTTTTCAATATCTAAACAAGATGGGATGTCTTTGGTATGGTTATATAAAAAATGACTTGATTGGTCTGCTTTAACCAGATTTTTCTATCCGATCCTGTGTGTTTAAAATTTCTGGTTTAATTCACACCAACAGGTTCGAATGTCAGCTTTCCAGCAGCTAGGCCCTTTTATTTCTACATTTGCTGATGCAGAAAAAACTGGGCTTTATGTAAATGAAGATGGAAGTCTTAGCTTTCGAACACTAGATAGGTTAGTTATTTTAACAAATCACTATTTTTCTATGTAAATATGGATACTAAACTATATAAGTTCTAATTTTAAGAATTTTTAGCAAGGAGATTATTCTCTAAAAATGATTTGTTTTTTTTTTTTATATATAAAATTTTGTGTATAACTTACACTAGCAGTATTTGCATTTTGCTTGAGATTTGGTTTGGAAGCTTGTATTATATTTGAGTCCTGTGTTTAAATTGAATTGTTATTAAGTAGTTTAAACTTTTTTAACAGCTTCAATGCAGAACAGGTCAGTGAAAATATTTCCCATGGAACAGAACTGAAAGGCATAAATACATTTTCTGAAAGTACCTTACAAAGTGAGTCAGATTTGGCCCACCCAGCTAAGAAATCTGATGAGCACGTAGATTTTCAGTCAAGTGAATGTTTAGGTGCAACTGATTATAGCAACAATAGTGAAATGCAAATTCAAGCAATGCTAATTGATAGCAGTGCAGATGATAATTCTAGTAAAGATGAAACATGCACAGGAAAACTAGTATTTGACTTAAATGATAAGTCAGTGGAAGAATTCCGTGCAGAACAGTTGGGAATTGACATTGGTAACAAACAAGCAAAGTTAAATCTGGAATCTAATTATGATTTTGAAAATGCTCAATCTTCTCTTTGTGATATTAGTAATAGCAGCAGTCAGAACTTAGATCATGAATCAGTATCTTCTAAAATTAAATCTAGTCATAGTGATATTAGTAATGATAGCAGCCCTAGCTGTAGAAGTATACTCATACCTGACACAAAATCTAGTGAAAGTGTTAAAGATACAGGTTGTGGTGACACAACAGGGAAAGGGAAATTTTTTGTGCCTTATTCAGACAAAGGGGATCAGTCTGATTCTGATAGTGTTTTTTTGGATAGCACCAAGGAAATAAATGCAGCAGTTACTTCTTTGGGATCTGGCGATGATCCATCTTCTAATAGAGTACATGTACATCTTGACAACAACTTTAATACGTTCCAATATTGGAGATCTCCCCTTCCTGAGGTAAACATTGATTTGGATATTATCAACGGACAGCCAACAAATATACATGTGGTGGCAAAAGTGAAGGATGAAGATTCTAAAAAGGTCTATGCCTCTGAAATTAATGTAAGCATATCAGGATCTTTAAAAGCTAGAGCTGACAATGTAGTAGATTCCTTATCTGGTTTATCATTAGGAAGCAGCATAACCCAATCATTTTCTAACTCTTCATATGCAACATCTGAAATAGAAAAATCAGGAGTTAGGATTCACACTGCCAGTGTCAGCACTGTAAGTGATGTTGCAGATGAGACTGTAGCACACATTGGAAGCACTCATGTATTAGGACAGCATTTAGGTGAACAGCACTTGGCAATAGTAGATGGTGTAGTGCAAGGTAAGTTTTTTTGTTATACTTAATGCTTTAAAAAGGTTTGGTGGTAGGCCTACTTGTAAAAACATTTTTTTTGTACGTGTAATGGGAAAATCTTCAATAAACTTTCTACTATTTAACCCTTTTACTATCTTTTTGCACTCATGCTAAAAAAAAGATTCTGTCAGATGCTCTTCAACTATGTATATTACATTAATTTTAATACATCCAAAACTTAAAATATGGCAGACTTACAAAGATTTTGTTCCAACATTGCTGACAACTTATTTCTAGAATCACTAGTTACAACACTACTGCTAATCTTCTGGAATCACAATTTCCAGAAAATCTTCTGGCATTTCAAAATTTATTTCTTGGTTTTAATGTTTTATTTGTAGAGCAGTTTTTAGTCTCATGGCAATTTTTCCTGTATTGTTTTATTACAAGTGGAAGTTTCACAAATTCCAAGGTTGAAAAATACATATTGGGCTTTAGTGTATGGAAAAGGGAATAAAATTTTTATAGCCACAGGCTTAATACTGGTTCAGACAAGTTTTTAGAAGTTTTAACTAGTGCCTTTCAAATTTAACTAAGTTGACAGTAGTCTTTTTGTCACTATTAAATTCAAATAGTACTAAACCATGTATGATTAGTAAAAAAAAATTCCTTTAAAAACACATTGATGTGGAACATAAAAATGTCATGCAGGTCTTTCGTTTAGTGATCAGTGAACACAATGCAGACATGCTAAAAGCAAATGGTACAACAAAATTGCAAGTGTCTCTTTCGACAATTCTGATTTCCTCCAAGTTAGTCCTGCTAAGTCAAAAATGAATGTTGCAATAAAATAGAAAAAGAGCTGGGAAAATACAATCATTTCCTTTTTTTTTTCTGATTCAATATTTACTTTCAATACTTAGGCTACATATTGATAATCTAGAAAATATTAGCTCCCCAGATTGCATAAGCCTATAAAATGTTTTAGAGATATTCTAAGAAATTTTCAATTGGAAGCTTAAGTTAGCTTTTGTTTGTCGTTCATGTGACCTACTACTATCTAGTACATAGCAAGTCAGAGTCAGTAACATGACCTTGGAACTAAATATTTTGGTAAATAAACCAATTGTGGATAGTGCTTTAACAGCTGTAATTATGGTTTGATGTGGAGGGTGGGATGGGTTTTGAATATAATTTAAACTTAAAGCAAGCAGTATACAGACCTAGATCCAGGCTCAATTTTTAACTATGTTACTATACATATACTCATATCTGGTACTTCTTTGTATAGTGTTAGGATTTTATTTTTAGGTTGAACACAGTAAGAAAATGTAAAGTTCCCGTTCAAACCTGACGGTCTATAGGGCAAGTGAAATAGAGTGAGATAGTATGGTCAGCACTATGCCTAGCCACCTTTACTTTCCCTAACATGAGTTAGGTACCCATCAAAGTTGGGTGGACTCAGGGACCATCTACTGACTTGAAACTGGATTCGATCCCATTCCGTCCCCAAACACAGTAGTACCAGTCCACATATTCCTTTTTTCCTTTCCAATTACTCTTTTTGTGTATGACTGTTTCTACTTTTGGTAGCCTTGGGTAGACATGTCTGACAATGCCTCTAAAGCTAAAGCATACAGCTTTAGCAAATAAATTGGTTACTGAACATTGCCCCTGTAAATGAAAATAATTAAAAATCTTAAATTAAAATTTTTGCAGATCTAAGCAGTAGTAGCATAAATTTCATGGATGACTTGCCTTCAATGGATTTTGGCGTAGATGATGCTACATTAGCCCAGCAACAGGTATGCTTAAGCTGGCAGTTACACCTTTTTTTATGTAATTGCTTTTGTTCAGCTGTATTTATTTGGGATAGATAAACTGACTTAACAAATAAAAAAATTTTAAAATCACAACAAATCTAGCTGAAGCTAGTTTGCTGACGAGTATTTTACTTTTTCTAGTACCATATTTTCACCTGTGTCATAGCTGTGCTTAAGTATTGAATAAAGTCCAAATAATTTTAAATTAAACTTAAGGGTATTTTACATTATGCGGCAGTGATTAAGTTTTGTTAGGTCATTTTTAGAGTAAACAGCACCATTAACATGTATGATTTTTGGCGTTGATTTTTCAATTTTGACATACAACTGAGTTTAAAATAAACACAATATGGCTAAATAGTAAAATTGAAATCATCACCAGCATAAATAATTTTTTTGTAGGTCACTTTCGACATGGACATGTTTCTCCATTAATTCAAAATGTACTTTTTTTACCGTATGTTCTAGCCATTAGAAAAAACACTATTCCCATAGATCTAATCATATTTTAAGTTGAGGCAACAATAATTATAATTTTAAATTTTTTTGGCTCAGGTTGGTTTTTTAATAGCTATTAGCAATCAATATTACTATGGTTCCATTTCCCACATATAAACAGTCATGTGTAATTATCTTTTTCCTGATACATTTTGTGATACATACAAATTAACCCTGAAATTAAAAAAGTGTGTAAAGTATTATTCTTTAAAAGCGAATAATTAGGGAATATATAATCTGTTATTACTGAATGTTTTTGGGCAGCCCTGGCTTAATATGTAATAGACACCAATAGGTCCCTTAAATATTTTAAAAATCATGCACAATGTTATTGAATTAAGAATTTAAATAGTTAAAGAGACTTTTTTTTATCTTAATATTGGCTGGTTTTTTTTCCTAGTACAAACAAAATAAAAAATATTTTTTTTTAATTTGTTAAAGTAAATGGACATAAATATGGCCAAGTGGTTCAAAAAAGTAAAATGTTTTTCACAAATTTATCGCCGTTTAAAGTACATATCGCTAGAAAGTTGCAATTTTAGATCAATCATGGTGTATCAGTACAGCCATTAATTCTTGTCTTACAAAAGTAAAATGAAAACCAATGTAGCCATAAAAAGTTATTTCAAAATAAATGTTGAAAGGATTCTTTTCAACTCGATGTCCATTACATGTCAGAGCATTTTTTGCCTAGCTGGTAAATTTACATCTTAAAGATGTCACTTTGAATATAAGAGGTAGTAAAAAGTGAAAATATTTTATTAAAATTGATGACAAAATGGTCCACGTTTATATACACTTATGGGGTGTTTGATAAATTAATTTTAGTGCAGAGATAGCAGACCTAATCTTATTTTTGTATTTTATTTTTAGAGCATTGTCCCACAGATGCTTTTGGAAAATTATTTGGGTATGGTCGATCCTTCTCGTGCTCAAACAGTTGATGGAGAGATCACTAAACACTGTGCCTATAACTTACCGGCTGTTGCATACACTCTTGGAAGACAGAACTGGCATTGCATTAAAAATTTGTACGAAACACTGGCACAAGACATGCAGGTAGTCAATTTTGTCAAAGATGCAAACATTAACCACCTTAACAAAAGGTTTATAAAAAATATGTAACTCCTGGAACAACTATGCATTTGTTAAAACTTTTTATTGCTTCAATGGCACTATAGTTGTCTACTAAACATTAAAATAATAAGATTTTAAAGTCTTGATTTTCTATTAGCTGAAAATTGCTCATTGAAATATGGGTTGTGACATTAACAATATGTTTATCATTAGTTACATTCTGATATAGATGATATACATGTAGTCTTAAGTTTAGTTTTAGGCAAATAATGTATTCAATAGTTCTGATTTGAAGTAACAGCATAGGGTATAGTTTTCTTTTGGATATAACATTAAATACATTTTATAATTTGTTGTATCAAAATGTAACAATAAATTATTATTTTTTTTAAACTTCCTATAATTTTTACTTAGAAAAATTGAACAATTTTTTAATACGATTTAGTGCTGTAAAAAAATGCGAAACTGAATTTCAGCACACTTTTTTTTTCAGTGGAAAGTTCGCAGAACTCTGGCCTTTTCTATGCATGAACTTGCAATGATTGTTGGAGAAGAAATAACACATAAAGATTTAGTACCTATATTTGATGGCTTTTTGAAAGATCTAGATGAAGTGAGAATTGGGGTGTTAAAACATTTGGCAGACATTTTTCGGGTAAGCTTTAGTTCTGCAAATGTTAAGCCATTGTTAACTGATTGCATCAGTTGATGGAATTGTTTATAACCTAAAATATTTTCTTTAGTTACTCAGGCCAGAAGTAAGACTGCAATATTTAGCAAGAACTCAGGAGTTTATGAAGACAGATAATCAACGAAATTGGAGATTTCGGGAAGAACTGGCAGAGTACGTTTAAATGTTTAAATTTTTTAATATTAGTTGAACATGTTGACTGTGTGAACAAGAACTTCTATTTTCTGTTTCTTTTATATAGGCAGCTTATACCAGTGTGTGACCTTTTCCACTGTATAGACATTGTTACAAATATCGTCCCACTTGCCATGGTAATGCTTACAGACAAGGTAGCTCAGGTCCGGCTTGTTACTCTACGACTGGCAAGTACTGTTTTTACGAAGCTGTTCTTTATAAACCTGTGCTTTTGTTGATAAATGATTCCTTGTTATCATTAAAGTTACTTTGTTATATAACCATTAAATTTTAAATGGTTAAATTTCAATTACTTTAATCTTTTGCCTAAAAAAAATCTGAAGGTTGATTTAGGTCAGTGTGAATTTAATTTAGTTTTTTAATATTTGGAATCGGTAAAATCAGATGATCAGAAGAAATAAATTTTAATCTGAAAATAAATTTGTCTGGTGTAAATTTTTCCTAATGATTAAAAACTTTTCTGTTTTAGTTGTGTGCAATTTTAAAGAAGACTTATCAAGATGATGAAAAAAAATTGCTTGCTTCAGTGTGCAACAATATTATTGAACAATTCGCTAATGATTATCGATGGCTGTCAAGGCAAACGTAAGTGATCATGCATTCATACAATTTTTTTTTATAGTTTTGGGAATTTTAACCCTAGAACTTTGCTGGTCAGGAATGTCCTACATTTTTGAATTTGAACTAGAGAACTTTCGAAGTAGTAGCCGAAAGCTCCACCATTAAACCACACCGTCCCATATGCTTGTTAAAAATATCTATTGTATATGTAATTAAATCTGAGACCCTATGATTTAGACATTTTCAGAGTATTGGGCTTGTATTTTCTGAATAATAAAATGTCTTACTGCATAAAAAATCGTTTTAATGAGTTTAAACAGCGTACATGGCTTTTGGACAGAGTAATAAACTTCAATGTCAAATCCACTAGCTATCTTATATCTTGCGCTCTACCCATTTTAGTCCCATTTTATCCACTGGACTTAATAAAAATGTCGAAATGTTAGAATATTGTCAAAACAAACGCTATATTTTCATTTTTTCCTTATTTACTGCATTCTTTCCCAAAATAGTATTTTAAAAAAGACAAATTTGTAAATATAAATTTAAAAACAAAATCCAATTTTTGTTGAAAATGTCGGTGGAGCAAAGAAAACAAACATGATTGGCAAGTCATCTATTTATCTCCTCACTGAAATTGATCGGATGAAGCATTAGACAAGACTTCAAAAGCCAAAATTCTGCGAAAATATTTTGATATTAAGGTGACAATATCACCATGACAATGAAAATTTTGTCTTATATTCTACAAAAAAAAACGTATTACTTTATACATGTACCAATAAATATTTTTTATCATAATGATTATGATCAATCAGCTACTAAACAGCATTTTAATAATAGAAAAATATCTTCTCTTACAGATTTGCACAGTTATGCTATGTGATATTAGAAGAAAACAGTCTTCCTCCTGATGTTTTTGCAAAAAATTTTCTTCCAAGTTTGCTAGCACTTAGCTTAGACCCTGTACCCAATGTTAGAATTTCCTTGGCGAAGGTGATGTCTCAGAGAATTATGCCTCTAGGTAACTATCTTATGTCATGCATGTTAAAATTAATTTAAAAATAATTAAATGCACCTACATTTCTGACATGCTTACTATTATTACATTTCAGACTACTTTACAACACAACAAAATCCTTACCATGAAGATTTGGTACAAACTCAGCAAAAACTTCAGTCTGATGTGGATAAAGATGTTCGATATTTTGCTACATTACAGCCTGGAAGTGAAATAACACATGATCATGATATGGTAGGACGCATTTAGTTTTTTTATATTATAGTTAAGATATTTTGAGGCACTTGTAGTAGATTAATAATAGTCCAAGTTTGTTTGGTGCAGTTTTTTTCAGCCTTTTTTTTAAAAAAATTGATATAGCCAGTCCATGGTATATATAACCATGATTTTAAATAAACCGGGTGTGATCTCCCCTAAACTTTCTCGAATATTCTTATATAAAATAACAGGGGATCCATTTTAAATACTTAAAGTTTTAAAAATAGAATAAAATCTCGTAGACAAATTAATTGCACACCAAGTGAACGCCAAATAAAAAAGCGCATAATAGTGTGCAATATTATTAGTACTTCTAAAATTTACATTAGTTTTTTGAGAAATCGAAAGTAGCGTAAATTACTACTTCCAGTCAACGGAAATTACTCAAAATTTAACAGAAGGTAGAGAATTAGATCTTTTACTTACATGTAAAATTTCATGTATCTATCTGAAATAGTACTCAAGTTATAGGCTTTTGAAAAATTCAAAGTAGGAAAAGTACCACTTCCGGTTATCGAAAATCGCTCAAAAGTTGATACGGATCTACGATTTTGATAAAATACTTATATATGAAATTTCATCAACCTAGCTGTAACAGTACTTAAGTAATCGTGTTTACATACTGACACACAGACACACACACACACAGACATATGGACAAGATTGCAAAATTGTTTCTCCATATCAGTGAGGTGTAAAACGTCACGTCGAGATTTGTAAAAATCAAATCTCGATTTTTATTTTTGCACGATTACAATACTTTCTCTATACTTCGTGTATACGAGAAAGTAAAAAAGTTACATGTATTCCTTTTTGAGACAAAAAACAATTCTCTATTACTATAAAATATCAACACTGCCACACATTGCTTTTAAAAAAAATTATCACTAATTGTCCTGAAAATGAAGCATGATTGATTATCAAAGCATTTTATTTGGTTAAAATAGTCATTTATTTCTAAATTGCCCCTTCAGTGAAAAGTAAAAAGGTTAATAATCTTTTTAAAAAAAAAATTTGTAATATAGTAACTTTCAATCTCATGCTTTTCATGTATATGGCTCAACCCTTATTATTAAATTCACCAATCCCCCCCCCCCCCCAATATAGCCTTATAATCCAGTTGCCCCACTATCTTGTGTTACGCACTTAATGAAGTCTTGATAAGTAATTGTGGACCACATATTTTTTATTTCGCACAAATTAGAGTGGTATTTTAATTTGTATGGTGTCAAGGGTTTTCAAAAGTTGGGTTAGAGGAGTTGATAAATTTAATATTCACTTAAAGAAATATATCAGATCATATGAAAACAGTTAAGTCTGATAAAGTGGCAGTAGATCAGTTCCTTCAATTTCTCAGCAAAAAATTGTGGAGGCTACCTTAAAATATATATATATATATATATATAAATTTTTTTGGTAATATTTTTTAATGTTGCATAAAGTAATTTACTGAGAAGGCAGGTGTATTGCTCGAATTTTTATGATTTAAAAAGTTGACAAAGATTTTTTATTTCTTTCAGGTACCTGTCTGAAGTTCCATTGATATTTGTTGAAGTTAGTATGGTTCCAAAGTTAAAACATCTCAGTATTCTTTCAAAGTTTTTTTTATACAATGCATAACAACATTTTAAATTTTTTATTTTACTAGTATCCCTATTGAAAGTATGATTTGTATTTAAAAAACAAATATTTTACAATAAAGTATGAAGTTAAAACTGATTTCTTAGTCTTTTAATTCATAATTTGTTTTTATATTATCAATGCTTTTTATGTCAATTGACACAGCTAAAAATTCCATTTTAATTTCCAATGTTGGTTTGTTTTTTGTATTGATTTTTCAATTAGAAGTTATTAGTTCAAACACCTGACTTCTTTACCCTATTTTCTTGTCTACTTGCCTGACTGCAATAAAACTGTGATTTATGGTGCCTTATTTGTGCAGTAATGTACAGGTTTTTTTTTAATTGGTCTCCAACAAATGTTGGAACTAATAGCACTAGAGGATTGTGATACATTTAAGTATTGCATGATTAGTTTCTTTTATCTTTCAGGTATAGATTTTTATTAAAATGATTCAATTGTACATATTCAATACCTCTATACTCAATACACCAATTTAAATATTAAAACTTGTTATAAATGCATTTGTTGGCCTTGTTAAATGTAATTAGTTGATAATACCAGTAGACTTAGATTTTGTCTAGAGATAACATTACGGGGGTGGGGGAGAGAACAATGACTTACTGTTTTGTTCTTGGCTGAGATGAGAAATATTCTGAGTGCAGAAAAATCATATCTACAAAATTGTCAGCAGTGTTTGAATACTGTAGTTGATTAGAAACCATGGATGGGTTGTTATCCTAAGTTATGTTACAGATAATTAACAAATTTGTTTTAATTGCATCATAGTTTCTTTTATTTGTTGGTTCTTTAAATGGATATTTAATTGAAACCTATTGATATGAACATGTGCTTTTTATTAGTAAGTTATCAATAAGAATTTTAAGTTATTCACTTTTAGGAACCTTAACAAATTGTGTTGGAGGTGCAGTGTTTTATGGCTGGCCCAATCTTTGATATTTGGGGGTGGCTATAGTTTTCTGAAAATTGGGCTCAGTGCTATTTCAAATAACCACTGAGCAAATCTTTCTGTACAGTGCTCATTAGCAAATATTTTTTACTTGTAACTAACGAATGTACATTGTGTGAAAATGTCAAATATTAATTTTGTTGCTTAATCAAACTCCAATGAATAGTAGCTGATGTCTTTCAGTTGAGTCTTTCTAATGCACCCACGTTTGGTTAGGATATTGAAGACATGAAGTGCTATTTATTTTTACTGATGTATATTGTATATGTGTTAGTCTCATATTAAGACTAAATTATTAATTCACTTGCATATGTATATTACACATTTTGAAGGTTTAGTTAACAATGTTTATTCTAGAATATACTACTTTTTTTTTTACACAAGTGTATTTGTTTGGTACAAATAATTTAATTTTTACACACCATATTTCGGCAAATATTAAACTATCCATTAACATGAAACTTTGTTTTTAAATAAGAATTATTAATTAAAAAGGTTTAGTGACTGAAAACAAATGCTGGACTACTTAAATTATGACAGGAGAAAGTGTTAATGTAAACAGCTGCCAAAATGCCTTTATTGTATTGGAAATATATAATAGTTATATAACATGTATAAGCATTTTATTTATTTCAATGGTTGAACAATAAAATAAAAATAAAAGGGTATTGGCTTTGTTGTTCATGAAATATAGCATGGCAGGGTGGATTACTTTCAGACAAGTAACTATGTCTAGTTAGCTTTATCTACTCCATGCAGGAAACCATTGAAGTTTCCATTGTTAGTGCTTTCCCGAACTTCACTATTTTAATTTTTAATCTGTAATTTGATTAGTGTTAATGTATGGCCAACTAAACTCTCTGACCTAAAATTATATTCAAGGACAATTATCCTTTTGGAGTATTTCTAAGTGTACCTTGAATAGATGAATAGATGTATTTTCTGAAAAGCTGATATTCTAAACCAGGGGTCTCCAAACTTTTCAGTCCGAGGGCCGCATTAACTATCAAATTTTAGTTCGAGGGGGGGGGGGCAGGTTCTTTCAGGCATGTATTTGATTTTTCTGGGCAAAGTTCCTCAGCCATCATCAACAAACGTTTTTTTCCGTGGACAAAAAGATTTCCGAGGGCCGGATGAGAGTACATCGCGGGCCGCATCCGGCCCGTGGGCTGTAGTTTGGAGACCCCTGTTCTAAACCATTAATAAATTGTCACAGTAAGTTGAGTAAGCCACTTAATTAGAAAACAAACTTAGTTTCAATAAGTGTTAATCTTGCCAAATCAAACTTGTCTGATGTTAGGTCTGGATTATGTTCATTAAAAATACAACCCTTCAAGATTTGCAGAAGATGAATGTTTTTTTAAACTCATTCTTACACATTCAGAAGAGTTGTAAGCTTTATGTAAAATGGTGAAAACAATAAATAAATGACATTGATAGTGTGGCACTACTTTATTTATTAAGGCAGTGTAGATATTGAGTTGAGACATAGAACTCTTGGCAAACATTGCTGTTTTATTTTAATAAACTAAATGCAGTGGATGAGCATGCCTAAAAATAAAGGAATCAATTAAGAATTTGTCAGATCTTATGTAAAAGTCTGTATGCTTAACAACAAAATTAGGGGCATTCAGTATATAACTCAGGCAATCAATATTAGATTTATTAACTGAATGTAAAGTACTTGTTGATTTTGTAGTACCTTTAAATACAGTAATTGAAGCATGATTTTTTTGTTTTTCAATGAATAAATGTAACTAATTATAATACTTATTTTTCATCTTGATTTAATGGTTCTAGTAACAAGTGAGTAAAATGAAAGGAGAAAAGGCAAATCATAATAAATTAGAAGTGGATGAATAATTAAAAAAAAACTATAACAGGAGAAAAGCTTATTTTTGTCTGTCATGGATATCTTGATGTGATTAATAGTGAACGGAATATACAATAGGATATCATTAAAAGGACATAGTCTATAAAATATATTTGTTTTGAAAATAGAGATCACACTCCATTAATTTCTAAATCAGAATGTAAAACAAAAAAGATAAATAAATAATTTTTTTTAAATGCTTACATTGCTATGTAACTGGACTAGATATTACTTTTTTTTTACAATAAAAATATATTCAATATGGCTATCTTTAATAAATAATTCATTTAACTAAGATACAGGTAAGCTTGATTTCCTTTACACACTCATCATTGCAAATGAGGCTACATCCAAAATTAAATTTAAAAAAGTATTTTGTCTTGTCTTGTAATTACTTTTTCTCTAATTCATGTGGTGATGACACAAATAATGTATGTACAACAGCAATAACTGAATTGCTTTAACAAACTATTATAGGTATAGATCTAGTTATAATTAAACAAAAAATATTAAAGGTGAGGCCTTTTAGCAACAAAATGACTAGGAAAAAAGCTTATTTTAGCATACTTGAGACATACAACAGGTAATGTTAAAATACATAACACTTGTGCATATGCTGCATGTTGCAATATAGCTGTATAAATACATTTTAAATACTTAAAATTGCTGAAATATAGAAAGATCAGGTAGATATCTTTATTTGAAAAACAAAACCCTATAAATTTTCATTTCTAACCACACTGAAACTAGTCCTCATTGGTTATAATAGTACAAGTTACAGACAATTTAAAAATAAAATTACCGAAGTTTAATCAGTTAACACAGAGGATGGTCCATCACTGAATTTAGTTTAGTGTGATTGGTATTGGTGCATGTTTTTACAAGATTTAAATTTTGTTTTTTTATTTTATTAGAACCTTTTTCCTATATTATTTCACATATGTTAATTTTATTCAAACGTAGGGATAAATAAACTTTGTAAGAGTACTTATAGTTGAATATCTTACATTTATAAAATAAATTTGTATTCTTAAAAATTTACAGAAATCGATTATAAAGATTATATTGTCACAAAAATATTTGTTTGATATAACTATCTTTTAGATTAAAAAAATAATTTTAAAACAGATATAAAATTTAAAAATATATTTTAAAAATATTATTCAATAGCCTTAAACACTTTTTAAATTTATATCAAACTATCCTGATTTTTCTTTTTAAAATAAAATGCTTTGAATAGTTACTTAGGAAAGTGAATAATTGTAGATTTCGCATAAGCCTACATCAATTTCTTTTTTGACTGCTTATGCAATAAAAATGTACTTTGTAGCACCTGATTTAAGGCTTGTTAAGAGCTAAAGTGTATTAGCTTAAAACCTATTAAAGGCACATGTGATACCAAAGAAAAACTCCAGTGTAACTGGTATAAATAAATTATAAACTGATGACACAGTGAGTGAATCAAAGTTGAATGCAATATAATGAATTAATTTACATATATTATGTTAAAATGAAATATATCTACTATTCATTTACAAAGTAATTACACAACCCTAAAGAGAGGCTAGATGCATCTTCTTAATGTGGTTATTTGCAATTTTAAAACATGATGTATAATTTTTTTACACAAGAATACTGTACACTGTACACATTGCTAATAAGATGTGTTATTTTGCTATTTTTGGGTAGTTTTTTAAAATATAGATCTAGGTCTATCCTATTTCTTTCAATTAAATTTTCCCACTTAATCTGTAGTCTGTGTCAATTATTTTAAAATGCATTCATTAAAAGAAGTTATGTAGGCCTATAAGTTTACTTTTTAAGTTAGTACTTATAATAATATTGATTTTTAAGTAGAGTCATGGTGGAATCATTTTTAAGATTTGAACCGGTTTTTAATTAAGTGTTGAAATGTTTCCTATAAAAATAATTACAGGTTTATGTATTAGGTTTACTATAGTAACCGTCAATTTTAAAAGATCCTGTTTATTTTATATAATAACACGCTTTCACAAGGAGTATTATTATCAATATTGCATTCATACACACAAGTTAAATTTAATAAATATTTTAAATAATGATAAATAATGCCTAGACATGTGCAGGAACTGCACTGATTACATCCCTTTTGTATTATTTGTAGGGAGCAGCTAATATATATTAAATACAAGAAGATATATTTAAAAGAAAGTTTAGTATCCCACACCAAGTGCTTGCAAGGTAGTCACAGCCCAGTATGTTAATTAGAAGTAATTTTTAGTAGTGTATAAAATCAACTCTGGCCTACCTGGCAACACTAGAAATAATACACATGTTTGAAGAGAAAGGTATGTTAGGAAGAAAATGAAATAACACAAGGTAAATAAAGCACCACCACCAAATCAAAAATAAATGAAAATGTCTTTTATTCTGCAAATTGCATAGTGTTAAATTACATGCAACATTCCATCTTAGATCTGTCTGTTTTTGTTATCATGAGCAGAACATGTTAATGTAAAGAAAAGTTTAAGAAAAAAAAAAATCAGATTTGCAACCCACAAAGTTCCATACATTAAAATAATGGTATGTTACAACCCACAAAAAAATTCATCTATTTAAGAAATTATTTTTTCATTCAAAAGCTTTGCCAGAAATACAGAAAACTATGATGGCTTCAAATGGCTTAGTATCCAAAAGCAGCAGTCAGCACTGATATTATTCCAGCTGTTTCAGGCTATTAATGCTCATTTAAAATAAATATTAAATTATACAATTTTATTAAATCATCATAATTAAGGTATTCCATTATTATTATAGCTTTTAATTAATTCAGGCACAGTATGTGTTATTTTTAGAAGTTTGTGGAGCACTGCTTTTGGACACAGTTAAACCCAGCACCAAATTATTGCAAAATTAATTGAACAAGCCAGTAAGCCAGCCAGGCCTTTGAAACAATGAGACAGAAAACACTTTTTGACTGCTTGAACTGAGATTTCTACAATGACTGACCAGACTTTTCAATAACAAGCATTCATTTCTTGAAAAAAAAAGTTACTTAAATTTATACATGAGTGATAATTCAATGAATTGATATTAGATTAATATAATGCAAAATTTTAAAACATTTAAAATGAAATGTAGCAGCTTTATAAATAAGGCACACAAAATTGGAAGTTGTACATATCTAAAAAGGGGAGGTAAGAAAATGAAAATTTTAACATTCATGTATGATATTACATAATATCAAATTTAAGATAGTGTATGGTCTTTAAAAAAAAAATAGCAGTCAGATCCAAAGACAGTTATTTTTGTAAAGTTAGATTGAATTAAGCCTTTAAATCAATGGCTAGCTAGATCAGTGCTATTTTATCCCTACCTGAATAGGAAATGCACAAGCTCTGAATAAAAGAACAACACCCTATAGTTTTAATGCACAATGGTTGTTGGCAATAAGCCTAACAGTGTCAGAATACTGAACACCATGTAGAAAACTCAAGGCTAGACATGGTGACAGCATTAAAACTGGCTAAACAAGAAATTTCACAGAGTAATATCTGAAGGCTATATATTGTGAGCATGTAAAGTCAATCTTCTTTCATCATAGTTTGATAAACTTCTTGACATAATTTGATTGAAAAAAAAAACTAGCTTTAGCAAGGAAAAAAAAAAAGAGGGATGAAAAATTATTATTAAGGATTGTTAAATTAAAATTTTAAAAAACTTTTTAAGAAAATGAAAATAAAATTAGTAACCGAAGAATAAAATTGTATCAAGAGGACAGATTAAATTTCAATAGAAAAGTAAATAATGAATAAATAATACAATGATATAATAACAGAATGAAGTCAGATACGCTCCAGTTGAGGGAGATGTGCTGGAATGTGATCTTGAAAACAACAAACATTTTAGTAAAAAAAAAAATTCATGATATGTTTTTATTTACAGATTCGCTTAAAAGGATTTTTTGCTGCACTGATCTAAAAAAAAAAACCTGTCCTTTATGAGCAATTAAAGATTTTCAATTTTCAATACATGATTTCAATGATTTCACTAGCTTAAAAACAAATACAAGAATAAGTATTTCTGTCAGCTTTTTATGATAATTTCACAACCAAGATGAGGCTGAGTAAAAAGAAATAAAATAAAACATTTTTATGGTGTCTATTGTGTGTACATTTGTCAAGAAAGCAGTGCATCGTCTTTAAGGCTCAACACAACTGGTTATACCAAGAAACATTTGACTAGATTAACCAAGTAATATATTAAGAATAATAACTATTTTACAACTCATTTGCAAATCTACAATTTTTTGTTGAAATGCATTAGTTATAAAATGACATGGTATTTACATAGAAAAATAATAGAAATTCTTTTTCTTTAAATAATATAAAGACAATAAAAACAAGCTTTTATAGTAATGTAAAATATGTATCATCTTAGTATCTGAATTTTTTTTTATGAACTTGATCCTTTTGATTATGTAATGCCTTACTTAAAAATACAAATTAAAACATTACATATTTTGTGTAAGGTAATTAATGTTTCATTCAGATAATATTTTGAATCAAAATATATTTCTGATTCATTAAAAAAATATTTTTTTAAAGTTTTCTAAAATTATCTAAACCACAATTCCTGAAAGATAAAAAAAAGTACTTTTTTATTGGAATGATTCTAAAACCTCATTGCTGAAATATTTTAGTTCATAATTATACTTTATAAAATTAAGCATGTAACATTTTTTATACATTTTCAATATGATAAGAATTACAATTCTATAAACAATATGTGATTATAAAAATAACTAGCCATAATCACATGGAATGAGTGCAGCAGTAAATAAAACATGAACATTGTGGTTTGTTTTAATGAAAATTAATGATGGTTAAAGTTGTTACTCTACAATTAAAATATAGCGTTAACAACAGTTGTATGTTAGGCAAGTCCTAATATCTAAAACGTGAGTGATACTAAACTATGAATAACATTTATTGTTTGGCTGAGTTTAGAATAGTCCATACAAACAATCTAATGATTACTGTCTTCTTTAGTCTAAGAAAATTTAGATAGCCATACACTAAGCTGCAAGGAAAAACGACAGCAAGAATTAATAAGGAGTGTACACACTTTTCATTAAAAAAAATCTTTCTTCTTCATTTATTAGGTAAACATTAAATAGCTGCTTGCCATTCAAATAAAAATGGTAAAAAGTTTGCTTTAAAACAATGGTGAGCATTTATTGCAGACAGACAATTTATCACATGCTTCAGCAGTATGTTGATTTTTTAAATTTTCTTTTTAAAGAGATCTGGTTAAACTGTTAAAATGTGTAATTTTTTATGTGCACATGATATAAAGCAATTTTAAATTAAAATTAATTAAAAATAATCTTTTTATAATTTAAAATACATATTTCATGCAAATACACTTCCATTTCATTTTATACAATAATAAGGCACCTTAGGTGAATATACCATTTTCTTCATAAGTTTGGAAAAAAATAAAGAATTTACCTTTATTAAATATCCAACTTACATGATCAATATTAATACATGACAGTATTAAAAAATAAAATAACTGTACAAAGTTTTAATATTATTAACAGGTCCAATCGTAAATTTATTTACAACAACTTTCTGAAATGTATATAGATCTAGTAAATAAAGGAATGTTGCTACGATCATGAAAATATTGATCATTAAAACAGTTCAAATCTTTAAAAAAATATATAGGGAAATTTTAAAATATGTATTTCATAAAGTTAAAAGTAAACTATAGCCAGTTGAAGTTATTAGACTATTTCCAGCATATGGAAAATATATCAAACTTAAATTTTTTTTTAGCAATTTCATTTAATTACCTTTTTTATGGCTTTGTTAATAATTTTTTGTTTTATAAATACCCCACACTTTAAACATTGCACATGATACAAAAAGATCACATCAAATTTAAAGGTTTTTATACAGTATATTCTTAATTTCATTTTCAAGAAAATGTACAGCTGGAGCAATTCTTGTCATATTTTTCTATTGTTTAGAATGGAATCATTCTAAAAAAAGATGATTTTTAATAAGTGACAGTTGTAAATACAACTGCTAGATTTCAAAATTGGTTTTTAAATTTTCATTCGTTGCTATTGATTCTTGTCAATGCTCCACTCAATAAAAGGCACCTATGGTACTGTTAGTTATTAAGTATAAATTGCAAAATTCCTTCAGGAATTTACTAATTGCTTATAACAAATTATTGCTTTACAGAACACAGTACTTTAAAACTTATTGCATTACATTAACTAAAATATGTAATAATGTCATACTAACTGATACTTTCAAGAGTTTAAGCAATGTTAACATATTATGGCTTTAATATGAGTTTTGCTATTGAATGGAAGAAAAAGCCATCATGAGTAGAATAAACAATTTAAATGCAATAGTGTAAATCTTCAGACAACGGCAAGCTATTTAGCTTTAAACAGAAGTTGCAAAGGATTCTAGAGGCATAAAGCACTCAGCTAGAGGCACAAGTGGCTCTCAGAGGCATAAGGCACTCAGCTATAGGCCCAAGCAGCTCATTATAGGCAAATGGTGCCCAGCTAAGAGTCATCTCTTTGAATAAAATCAAATTTTTAAAAAATGCGTTACTTAAAGCACTTAAATAATATCAAATGTTCAGGCACTTTAAGAAAAAATTTTCTCAACAAAATACTAAAAGTTCATGGAATAAAGATCATTCTAAAAGCAAAATTGCTTAGATTAAAGAAGTGATAAAGTTTTTTTTTCAACATTGAAAAAATAAATAATTTGTCAACCTGCTGGTAAGAACTGAAACTCTTACGAGAGAAATTAAAAATGGCATGAGCTCATTGAGTAACTTTGAATAAAACGGTTACAATTATCATGTAATTTAGAATATTATTTGAACCTAACATTTATAAACTATTTATTAACCCAAGTAAAGATTCTTTACAACTTTTAAAATAAAGTTTTCTAAACCTGAATAATTTTATTGATTTTCTAGTTATTTTTTCAGAAATTTCTGATCTTTTTGTCGATAATATTCTAGAAAAAAATGTATATTTGAAGCGATATAAATATTTCCATAGTAAAATCTTAATGATGCTAAGCCATGAACAACTCAATAAATCTGTTTCCTAGGTGTCGTCTGTTTTTCTCCACAATAGCTCGTTCAGCTTCTAATCTGGATGCAAATGAGATTAAGGCATCTCCGTTTGGCCTGCCTTCCAAATTTGTTTGAATGCTGATTGTCTCTGGTCCTACCTGCAATTAAAATTGGAAAATGAAGTTTAAAATAATCATACACAATGTCATATTTTATCCCTTCACCTTGAAAAATGCAATCTGTAATAAATAATAATGTTAGGGTTATTTAAAAATTGTTTTTTAGGTCATCTTAAAATACTGCAGAAAATTCAATTATTCATTTTTAAGGATATTTTAAAATCTAGATATATTTAAACACTTCAAATTGTTTTTTTAAATGCTTTTAATTATTTGTGGTTTATAATTCTTAAACTTAAATAAATAGTAAAAAAAAAAGAAAATAAATAAGCTGAAATCAGTCTGTAGGTGAATGAACCTAGATTCTATTAGGGAGGTGACAGTTTTTTTTTGTCAAACCTGAACTGATTTACATCCTGAAGTTAATAGCACACCTGTTGCCTTAAGTACATTCACAATAAAAAATGTATTTAAAGAATCAAAATTTAATTTCTATAAAAATGGATTTCTTCCTCTTAAATTTGTGGGTAAGGCAAGAGTTCAAGGACGTGAGATGACATAATTGTGGGTCATTACCGCAGAAACCAGTTCCCGTCTGAGGCCATGTTCTCAACATCAGGTACATACCTGTAAAGATTATAGCGCAATGTCATATCCATACCCATAGCCACATATTTCATGATCAGAGGATGATGTGTATAAATGTTGTTAAATAATTGGTTCTTTCATCCAGTCAGTTTCCATAGTATTTTCATACTATTTTAATATATTTATAGTATTTCAACTTTAAAGTCCATTGAAGCATTGTGAATATTTAGTAAAATATTCAGTTCAGGTTTAACATGATGTTGACTTACCAAAAAATGTAAGAAACTAAAATTAAACTTGAAAAAAAAATTACAGAAAATTAAAATTTTAGATGTGTAATTTAAAACAGCAACAAAACAAAATAGGATACAGAAAAGAAATGAGGAGAGACTGAAATGCAGCACATGAACATAATGAGAGCCCAAGCCAAAATATAAAAAAATAAAACTTAATATAAACTTAATCCACAGACAAGCAAGTTTTTTTTAATGTATATCAAAATAGTATTTCTTTTATAAAGCCAACATGCAACTCTATGCTTATACTTAATTATAATTTAAACTTTTTTATAATTAGCATGCATAAATTGATCTGACCAAGTTGAACTTTGTAGCGTGCAAATAAAAAACAATCAATAACATAAAATATAGGCCTATATTTTTAAAATAATGACCTTTATAAAATAATAAATATATAAAAATGCACATATATTTTGGATTTTATCAAAATGCTAGTATTTTGAAATTTAGAAACAAAAAATAAAATCTAATCTCCATCACCCATTTTCAAGAAATTGCTCACTTAAAAAAATGTAGCAAAGTACTTGACTGAATAACAAAACTTTAAGGTTTAATGACACAAGCACCATAATATCAAGACTAGTTTTTTCAATATTTGCTTGCTTGTTACAGAATCCTAGACCTACCTCAGGAAAACCCTGAAAATAATTCATTATATCCTGAACTGTTACATTAATGGGCAAGCCTCTCATTATGATCATGCATGGGCCGGTGTACGGCCCCACTGCAGTGTTTGTTGTGGTGGTGGTATAGTAAGTAATGGCAGGAGTTTGTGGTGTAGGAGGTGACACTGGAGGGCTCGGGTACCAGTAGAGGATTGGCGGGTAGTAGGCTGGCCTCTGCTGAATAGGCGCCACAGTGGGGGTGAAGGCGGCCGGGATCGGCTGTGTGAGTGACATGTAGGGGAAGGTCCCCGCTGTTGTTAGGGCTGTTGAAGTCATGATGGTCTGTGGTGTCACTGTGAAAGTAAAAAAAATAGTTGGGAATATCAGCACAATAATTAGATTAAAACTTATTACTAATTTACAGAATGAAGTTTAGCCAAACTAATATAAATTCTTAAAAAAATACAATCAGACTTAATCATTAATAGAATAAACTTATTTAAATGCACTAACTTTAACACATTTCAAAATTAATCTAAAGACTTTTTGTGTCATGCGCAGTACTTGAAAAGGTAGTTTCATTTTTTTAAAAATTCAGATAAATACAAATTCTGATTATACCTGGTGACAAGATGGGTCTCTGTAGTGTTAGCGGTGATGGAGGAGGCATTGCAGGAGCAGAGAGGGCAGAGGGCACTGTGATGGACATTTGGGGCATCCCATTAGTTAAAACATAGCTCATGTCCTCTCCGCTGCACTGAATGACTTCAATCAGACGCTTCTTGTTTGCAAAGATCATGTGCCGCCTGTTTCTGTTTAAAGCAGTCAGAGTGGCAGCATCTTCAGAATCCAGCTGTATAAAGGCCTCTCCTGATGCCTCACCCTGTTCATAAACACACTATTTTTATAGTCAAGCACATTATAGCCTATAAATACAATGTATTTTTCTAGTAAAGGACTTTTATATAAACACAATTTATTTTTTAGTCAAATAAATTATATAAATACAATTTATTTTTCTAGTCAAGGACATTTACATAAACACAATTTATTTTCCTAGTTAAGTAGGAATAAATTATATAAATACAATTTATTTGTCTGATGAATTACCTTATATAAATACAATTTATTTTTTCTGATGAATTACATTATATAAATACAATTTATTTTTTCTAGTTAAGCATGTTACATAAAAGTAAATGGTTAAAGTTAAACTTTGGTCATTTGCTTGTAAAATGTAGATTTTCAAATTTTATTTTTATTTGAAAAAATAAAAAGTGTATATAACGGCTAGTACTAAACTAAACCAAGTCAATAAAAAGTTGGACTTACTGTTGCAGTGTAAACCATATGTACACCTTGATAAATAATAAACTGGGAAAACTCCCCAAGGAATGTGAGTATATCTGTGACTTGAGCTGCACTGGGCAGGTTCCGGAGTCGGATACAATCCCTGCGAGTGCCACTTGTGATGAGACTCTGAGGGATGATGGGAATGCCTGCTGGTATCTGTGCAATTAAGGGAGTCAGCTGACTCTCTGGTTGTTCTGGGTTGCGTGGATCCATACTTCTATTGAGCACCTGGGTGAACAGAGGACACAAAAAGGGGCACATTTGTAAGTAGCAGTATAAAATGTCAAAATAAAATTCATTTTGATAATTCGCTATTTTTTCCTGGGCCTAAATGCAAGATTAAAATTAAAATTAATTCAACAATGCTAAACTTTAAAATTGGAATGAAAACAAAATTGAAAAGATGGCGTACCTGCTGGACCTCAGCTGTTGTACTTTTAAACAACTCGATGTATCTGGACCCCATCATTTCCCTGTGTTTCTTCAAGGCTTTGGCAGATTCTTCTTCTGTAGCGAAGAGAACAAAAGCATCGCCAGTGCTGCGCCCATCTGGGTAGTGAACAAAGAGGATTCCCTCCTCCCCATCTAAAACTTGGGAAGAGTTGGGCTCACGGGTAAAAAACTCCAACTGTGGAAATAAAGAAATGGGAAAGATAAAATTTTAAGGCAATGAATTAGAGGTTAATCTCATTTAGATCACTTAAAATTTGGCACTGATCATGAGTCAAATATAAAGTATACTAAGTTTTTTTGATGAGATTGAGAGAAAATGATGTCATTGATAAAGTATAGATAGTTTTATAAACTTAATTCATTATTACATAGTTAAAAATAAGAGGATTAATGTTTTCTGGGTAATTTTTTTAATAAAATGTAAAAAAAGGGAAAAAATTAAGACAAGGTGCTTTCGATGAATGAAGTCTTAAAAAAAATGTTTCAAATTGTGACTGAATGGCCAGTTTAGTACATGCATTGGATGATTTTAACGGCATTGGTGTTGAACTTTGCCAGCATATAAATTCTAGCAGCTATTCTAAGTGTGGTTGTAAAGGTACACAGATTTCAATCATGTTGACTGGTTATTTGGTCCCCCTAACCTTTTTGTTAATAGTGGTGCAGGTTATTAAAGAACATTATTTCTTACAGGGTGCAACAACACAAGCTTGGTTAATGCCAATTCAAAGGTTTCGTTTTTTTAAATTTACATTAAATGTAAATTTTTGAAAAAAATTTCAGTACTGACAGAATGTACACAAATTCTATATCTCATTATGACATTCACAAACCTACCACTCACGAGAATGCAAAGATGTTTTTGCTTAAATTGGTTTTGGTTAATTTCATGTCCACTTTTATCCATCACCAATTAGCTACAATACTACACTACAAATTTTACAAAAAAAGAATTATTTTTTTTTGCAGTACCATTTTTTAAAGTTTAATTTAAAAAAAAGAACATTTACATTCTGCATGGAAATGTTTATCAACAGATGAGACCACACCCATATCCTGATATACCACACCCACTCATGCCAAACTGCACCTCTATACTTTCAAATACTCCAACAATATAAAAAAGCACAAGATAATTTGATTTTAGAAAGTAGTTTTCCTTTTACCATTAATTGGGACAGAAAAGGTGGGTTGGAAAAGAATCACATTTAATGTGAGTATTTTTTTTAATACACATACATGTTGTAGTTACTGGGTATCAGCTTGTTTAAGATTTGGGCACCTACAATGCACAGAGCCCCAAGTAAAGTGTACATATATAAGCCTTTACCAAAATAAAATATCCAAAAAAAAAAACATAGAACTATTGTTAAAAATTAATAAACAAAGTATGACAAATTAAAGTCTGTTTTTTTTCTTTGATTGTGGGAGAAAAAAAAAACAACCATTTTTTTTGTAGTTTGAGCAAAGAAGCCTGAGGTGTAATGAAGAAGGAGATAATGATATGTAAATATATGCAGTCCAGAAACCATCATCCCGAACCAGCTAATCCACCTGCAAGATAATTGGATGAAAGAATAAACCTGTCAATCCCGATGCGACCGCCACATAAGACCCACAGGCCAAGTTGAATTGTTACTGTCCAATGGTACACTTACCTTCCTGCCTGTTTAATTACGCTCCCAACTACGGGCAAATTTGTGAATGGTAGACTGAGCTGAAAACATGAAAAACCTGTAAATGCTTGCTACATTCTTGCTGCTAGTTTGGGGAGGCACAAGCATTACATTGACAAACTTTTTCTTTTTGCCCAAAATGCAGCTAACATGGAAATAATAGGTTTATAAATATTCCACCACACAATTTTTAAAGCTCTTGAAACAGAATCAATGCACAGCTCTCCACAGCTCTTTATAGAGACATGCCATTTAAGATGCTCTCAACAAGATAAAATTGGAATTTGTTTGTTAAGGATATTAAAAAATCCTTGTTTGTTTACACTTTGAAGATGTAACTGAACCTGGGACAGCTATGATTATATAATGCCTTTTTGTGGTGTGTTTTACAATGGGGAAAGCTCACGTAGATGGTACCAGATACAATTGTACAAGCTACTAGCAGAAAACTGCAGTCACATCATCAGTCAACAAGTGAAGAAAAACACTGTAACTCATTGACAATTACTATTGGTTTTGGTAAGAAAAAATATCTACACGATCATCCGGAACTTCTCAAAGAAAACTCTCAAATTAGCCCAAGTTCAGAGTTGATATCATCAACCAAAATCATTGAAAAAAGAATGTAATTATAAAAATACAACTTCATTACATTTTACTGAAGCAAGATGACATGTGTTTGGTACATTGATTTTTTTGGAGTAGGGGTCGTATGAGATGAACCCTGAAATAATGAGAGAAGAAAAATTATAGGATGAAAGTTGGTGAATTAATAAAAAACAACTTACAACTTGCTGGGTGGTGGAGGTAAACGGCAAGCCTCTCATCCTGATGATGGTCTGACCACCGCGTGACAGGAAAGCTTGAGCCTCAGAGTTGTTACCTGATTCAAACATTTGGAAACAAAGCTTTTAATTGTTCATATGCTTAATGTTGCTACTTGAATTTTTAGGTGCTCAATAAAAACAAAATTTTGATACATTTTTTAATATTTTGTTTTAGATACAAAAAATAATATTTACTGCTAAAATTTGTGTTGTTGCATAATAATATACACCTAGTAGTAATAGTAATGCTAAGTGAAAATGAAGCAATGAAATAGTAATTAACTTTCTAATTCATTTTTTTTAATATTATTAAAAAAAATAGAAAGCAAATATAAGTTAATTTTTAGAAGTTTGGTAAAATATAGTGAGTCATCATTTTGATAAATGATTTCACTTACCTCCTGCTACATTGATAAAATCTTTTCCTGAAGCTTTATACACTTCAATATATCGTTGACCAATGTGATGTTTGTGTCTTTTCAAGGCTAAGTCTCGGTGTTCTTCTGATTCAAATCTTATCAGGGCCTCACCATTTCTTCTGCCTTGTGGGCTCAGGCACAGGGCTACTCCGCCCCTAGGGAGATTACAACAAAATTAATAGAATAATTTTTTTTTAAATGCAACAAAAATTTCATTGGCCAACAAGTGGATCTACTTACTTGGCAATATTTAAGCCTTTAAAAAATCTGGCTATATCTTGATCTGAAGACTGCCAGGGTAGTCCTCTTGCTCTAACTACAAGGCCATCACTCACGTATTCACTTTTACTACTGCAAATTATATATAAGAAATTCATATAGAAATAAATACAGTATCATCAGATTTATATTACAAAGGGAGCTCAGCCAATGCACAGTAGTTTACACATATTAAACGTAATTACTTCCCTTTATTTACAAAAAGTAGACCATACAACTCTTGCAATGTGCAATTAGAAGTTAGACCTACCATATTCCACCTTCCAGTCTTTCGTTGATGATTTCTGGCTCCCCAAAAGTATGACCTATAACAAAAAAAGTTTTTTGAGTAAGATGTAGATCTAATATTTTAATTTATTATTATTTGATAATTGTTATAATTTGATACTTTATAATATTTAATTAGAATCATGACGTTAGAGATTGTATGTATGTATAATGACAACGGAATATGGTCCAACTATTTTTTCATAAGCTGCTTAGCTCTTTGAGTCTATAGCTGCCATTTTGTAATTATTCTATACATAAACGTAGGGTGGGTTAAGAATACAATGATCCATGACGTAGAGCAGTAGGCCCTACACACTTTAAGATGCACTAAATTAAATCAACATCCGGTCTTGTCATGTACTTTACCTCCACTACACTGTCACACCGCTAGGCTAAACAACGTCATAGTCGCGAGTTTTTACATAATTTATTCGGATACTTACTAGGTTGTCTACCTTGACATCATTTTATTACCACCCCTTAGTTAGGCCTACCCCATAAAAAAAAGAAAATGTTTCCGAAACAGCATTACACCCTTTAAAAAAAATTAAAATAATTTAAAAGCTCGGTCGTTCAAGATTGCGATTACAAAATTTACCTATTTACCTTATGCATATTAAACAGCCCTTTTTTTTATTGCACACTTGATGGTTATCATAACGTATATGATAATTTTATCCCCCTCCCCCCCACCACCCAGTTTATTTAAATTTCCAGCACTTCATCCAATCATCATTGAGTGGTCATGTGAGTGATCATGTGACCGAATGTATGAGTTGAGCTGCAATAACCGGCATTTCTGCCTCCACGTGTGATTTTTAAAAAGATTAACGTATTTACTAAATTGACATTTTATTTAAAAATTATTCCTCTTTCCTATTCCATAAGCCCAGTTTCTTCCCCTTGTTGGACCCATTTAATGAGTTGTCTTTTTATACACAAACAAGACATTGCCAAGCGGGCGTTGTTTTAATTACCCCCCTTTGAAGATATTTTTAAAGAAGTAGTGTTTTGAAAACTAGTTCTGCCAATGACAACAAGATATTTTTAAAATTAAATCCGCAACCTTCGTGCCACTAAGCTGGTAAAATATTTTAGCAGACGACAAAAACGGACAAAGTTATTTTAAAGTCCTTGACGACGACGCAGGATTTCTCTTGACCTTAAAATTTTTGTTTTGTTTTGGTAAAGTATAGCAAACCGTTCACACGGAATTTTACCAACCAGTTTGTTATGGTAACATTGTAATCTAAAAATAGATCAAATCATACAAGGCTGTTCAAAACGCCAGAAATTAAGTAGATATTGTCACCCTTTAATTCCACGCATATATCAACAGAATAATTTTAAAACGTTCCTTTGTTTTCTATGTTAATGAAGCCCATTAGCATAATGGAGCAGCCAGTAGATAGCAATATATAAGGGTTTTAGCCATGTACATATTATAATGTAGTGCGGCTCAGGGCTAGGGGAGTGAGGGGCTGTTGACTGATAGAATTTTAAATTACTCTCAATAGAGCTATGGAACAAAACCTGGCGATTTGACACCTAATGGATTGGGGGGGGGGGGGGGGGGGGGGATGAGTGTTTTATAAATTGAACTCTCTAAAAAAGAACTATTTTCATTTTAAAAGAAACAACTGTGAAATTGTAAATACGCAGCTTGAAAATGAAGCAATAGTTTATTGGAATGTAAATATATCAACATGAATTCTTCGAGTGCTAGAGCTGTTTCAGGTCCTGACTTCTCTATACTCCCCAGTGGATTGTAATAAACGTAAGCAGATCTTAGTGTATAACAAGGCTATAGCTTGCAGAGCTAAACAAATTAACCTGAGCTAAGTACCCTACTTGTAGGCTGAGGTAACTACCGTATATAGACTACTGAGGTAACTACCATATAGACACTGCTGAGGTAACTACCGTATAGAGACTGCTGAGGTAACTACCGTATATAGACTACTGAGGTAACTACCATAATAGACACTGCTGAGGTAACTACCATATAGACACTGCTGAGGTAACTACCATATACAAACTGCTGAGGTAACTACCGTATATAGACTACTGAGGTACTACCATAATAGACACTGCTGGGGTAACTACCATATAGACACTGCTGAGGTAACTACCATATAGACACTGCTCAGGTAACTACCATATAGACAATGCTGAGGTAACTACCATATACACACTGTTGAGGAAACAAATTAACCTGAGCTAACGAATCTGTAGGCAAAAGTAGCCTACTAGTATGCTAAGGTAACTACCATATAAAGACCGCTGAAGTAACTACCATATAGACACTGTTGAGGTAACTACCATATAGAGACTCCTGAGGTAACTACCATATAGAGACTACTGAGGTAACTAACCAACCGTCTGACACAGTAAGGTAGCTAACATACATAGATGATTTCAACACCAGATTTAATTGTAAAGATAAACTCACCATCGTTATTTGAGCTCATCACTACTAATGGGATTCACCAATAGACCACGACACGTTGTATAATTCACCGACAGCCCAACTTATGCTGGCTGTATAATTCACCGACAGCCCAACTTATGCTGTATAATTCACCGACAGCTCAACTTATGCTGTATAATTCACCGACTGCCCAATTTATGCTGCATAATTCACCGACAGAACATAGCGTGATTCACCAACACATCAACATACCCACTGTGCTACACGTAGCCCCATAACACACGTGTGATATCAGGCCTCTCTTTAGGCCGCCTAGTTCTAATTATAGTATCATATAGACCGCCATGCTATTTTTAATAGTCTTGTATTTCTTAACATTACCTCCACGATCAGAGAATGACGAAAGGAGACCTACAAAGGAAGGCGGGGGGAGAGAGGTGTGTTTTCGTGGGCGTAATCAAACATTTTTTTAAAAAGGCGGCGAGCGTTTCAAGTCCACGGGTTTTCTTACCGGAGGGACAGGCAGGGTAAGTTTTGAAATCCCCCCCCCCCACACCTTGGAAACGCCTATGTTAACAACATAGTATAAGCTTGTATTTTTTTGGTAACTGTTCAACATTCTTCAACTCTATAAACCAGCCTAGAGCGTACCAAATCTATGTCCCCATTTCAAACGTACACAACAAACTCAACAAATAGCTTTTCAATTTACCGTTGAAAAAAAATAATTGAAGAACGTTCTGGGTGGATGATCAAAGAAAAGGGGCGGCACCGGGTGGATTGGAGATAAAAATAAAAGAACAGTTATGGCCCCTATTGACCCAATTTTTAAAATGAACGCAAGCCCCAACCTACAGTATAGCCGCTGTTTTTTTTTTTTTAATTTTTTTAAATAAAAGAATTAGGTGTCACGCTTTGTTGGACGCAGTCATTAAATTCAAATGTTTTATCTGGCTCTGCTGCAATCAGATTCTTTTCAAAGTTCATTTATTAAGTAATTATGTTCTTATTGATTTAAAAAAAAAAGCCCCTGCTAAGGCTGGGATCAAACAAGGTACACCACCGATACAGGGGACTCGCAACAAAGGTTTAAGGTTATCCCTCACTGGTTCTAGATGATTATTTGAATAATATTTTTATGATTATTTGAATGAAGTCCCGTTTGTAATAATATTGTGAATGAAGTTTAATATTTTATGATTATTTCAATAAAATCCAATTGTTAATTATATTTTTTTACAATAAAGTCCCATTTTTCTTTTTAAAAAATTGAGATGTCATACATGATATGTTTAGGTAGCTCATCCTATTAGGAGATACACGTGTCTTCCAAAACTTGCTATATATAATCGGGAAATTTAGTACTGCTGGTATATGTAAAATACTACAAAAGTACTTTAAAACCCAAACACCACTGGTGTACCTAAAACACTACACTGTTACCCAAAACACAAAATTACATATAACACAACAATGGTACCTATAACACCATCAACCTAACTGGTATACCAACACAGCAGCAGCATATTACGTTTAAAAAAAATCTAAACCACGAATGTACCTACGCCAACAAGACCATCTTTCTAGCAGGAAGAACAAGCACACATAAACGTACGTCCAACATATGTCGCCTAGGTTCAATGAGATCGATGATTAGTTATATTTTCTCGATTAACTCTTTGTTTTAAAAGGGCATTAAAACATTCAAGGCTAAGGACTCGGGTAAACAAAGCTTAGAATTTCGAATTAAAAAAAAAAATAATGAAGTTTTGCTATAGCTTCTATCGTGACTGTAAGTGTTTGTTACTATGTATAGATTATGTGACTCTAACATATCGTACCTGTTAGTGTATGTTACTATGTATATATTATGTGACTCTAACATATCGTGCCTGTAAGTGTATGTTACGATGTATATATTATGTGACTCTAACATATCGTGCCTGTAAGTGTATGTTACGATGTATATATTATGTGACTCTAACATATCGTGCCTGTAAGTGTATGTTGCTATGTATATATTATGTGACTCTAACATATCGTGCATGTAAGTGTATGTTACTATGTATATATTATGTGACTCTAACATATCGTGCCTGTAAGTGTATGTTGCTATGTATAGATTATGTGACTCTAACATATCGTGCATGTAAGTGTATGTTACTATGTATATATTATGTGACTCTAACATATCGTGCCTGTAAGTGTATGTTACTATGTATATATTATGTGACTCTAACATATCGTGCCTGTAAGTGTATGTTGCTATGTATATATTATGTGACTCTAACATATCGTGCCTGTAAGTGTATGTTACTATGTATAGATTATGTGACTCTAACATATCGTGCATGTAAGTGTATGTTACTATGTATATATTATGTGACTCTAACATATCGTGCATGTAAGTGTATGTTACTATGTATATATTATGTTACTCTAACATACTGACCATCGTTGACCAGTCTGGTGAGGATCTTGGCCATCTGCTGGCACTGTCTGACGCCATACTCCACGGAACCATCTTCTTCCAGGGCCAGGTCTAGGCACCAAGGTCAAGGAACTTACATCAAGATAGCATCATAAAAACAAGAAGTCTGTTGATATATCAGGTCTGTGGCAGGTTAGACAATAATTTTTACTGTGTAAAAACAGGAGGTGTTTTAGTGGCGCCATGTCATATTTATGAGGGTTACTTACATTATTAAAGAAGGGTGTATATGGGTTGATAGTTAGGTGTGGGAATAGCAAGTCTTGACGCTTATGTCGATAATTTAAATAGGATGCCCAGATAAATAGAAGAAACCCGTTATATTTATTATGTCATATTTATGAGAGTTACTTACATTATTAAAGAAGGGTGTATATGGGTTGATAGGTATGGGAATAGCAAGTCTTGACGCTTATGTCGATAATTTAAATAGGATGCCCAGATAAATAGAAGAAACCCGTTATATTTATTATGTCATATTTATGAGAGTTACTTACATTATTAAAGATGGGTGTATATGGGTTGATAGTTAAATGTAGGAATAGCAAGTCTTGACGCTACAATATAGTATGTATGTCCTATGTCGATAATTTAAATAGGATGCCCAGATAAATAGAAGAAACCCGTTACTATTCACACATACATGTGATATATTATACCATTTAAATACTTGGCTGTTAAACTCATATATGCTCATAAGATTTAAAAAGGCATCTCATGTGATCAAAGTGTAAATATTATAACAGGTCTGAACAGGAAAGAAGGAATGTGCTGGTGTGCACGTGTGTTGGTGAGTACTGACGTGAACGTCTATTAGGGATCCACATTTACCCCAGCTGTTGCACAAAGCACATCAGTCGGGGTGAGATTTGTCGACATGTGGGGTTGGGGAGGGTGGAGGGGGGTTGGTGGCACAGGGTACATTCGTGTGTTGGGTGTGGTGGTGGAACGTGTACTGGTGTGGTTGTGGGGGGGGGGGGGGGGCATGAACACATGATACATTCTTATGTGTGTGTGTGTGTGGAGGGAGGGTGATGACACGTGTAATGGTGACATTCGTTGGGTTAGACAGATTGGTCGATACAATAAGGCGGGGGGGGGGGGGGGTGGAACATAGTAGGATATCGGTGAATTGGGGGTGGGGGTGAGACACGTGGTATTGGTCAGGGGGTGGGTGGAAAATATAGAGGGTATGTTGTGGGTAGGGAACAATGTAGAGAATATATTAGTGGGGGGAGGGGGAGGGAGAGCAACAGGACAACACGTGAACAAGGTAGGTAACTGGTGAGTGAGGAAGGGGATGGTGGTAGTTTGAACAATGGGGGGGGGGGTAGACAAATCAATATAAGCCTGTGACATATGTGTTTAAGCTGTATGAGATAGGGGGGGGGGCAAGATGGGTGGGGACAAGATGGGTGGGGGGAGCAAGATGAGTGAGGGGGAGGGGGAGGGACAAAATAAGTGGGGACAAGATGAGGTAGCCGAAACAATGGAGAAAACTAAGTAGATTATAACGTTTGGAAAACACAAATGAGGGAGATGACCCTAAAATTGTGTTTAAGACAATCTGAGACTTGTAAACAACAATTGTGTTGACAACTAACGGGGAAAACAACGAACAGAATATAAAAGACAAACAAGGATGGTAATGGAGAAATCTCCGGTAGTTGGTCTTCAATCAAGTTAGATGTCACGTGATTTTTTTTACCGATTAGAGAGATTATGGGATGAACAGCTGGATAGGGAGGAGGGCTACGGGGGGAGCTAACGGGATAGAGATGGGGCGCCAAGACGATGGGGTTTGGTGTATGTGTGAGTGCGTGCGTGTGTCTGCAGGGATAATAATCGATTCAGGGGGTGGGGAGGGGGGGGGGGGATTAGGCGAGCTGGTTAGCTTAAAGCAGGATAGCGATGTGGTTGATGGTGTGGTTGATGGTGTGGTTGGTGATGTGGTTGATGGTGTGGTTCGTGATGTTGTTGGTGGTGTGGTTGATGGTATGGTCGGTGATGTGGTTGATGATGTGGTTGATGGTATGGATGGTGGTGTGGTTGATGGTGTGGTTGGTGATGTGGTTGGTGGGGGTGTTGGTGATATGGTCTGTGGTGTGGTTGGTGGGGGTGATATGGTCTGTGGTGTGGTTGGTGGGGGTGATATGGTCGGTGGTGTGGTAGTTGGTTATGGTGGTTGATGGTGTGGTTGAGGGGCTTTTGTTGCCGCGGTGTGATGAAAGGGCCCTTACTAATTTTAAAAAGCATGACAAATACAGAACAGAGAGTAAAAACAATGGGTTAAGAGAACATTGCGTTTAAAAAAATCAAATGCCTAGCGGTCATCAAGATTTAATATATTTAATTACTCTTCTAAAATTAACACAGCAATTTAATCAAACACAAGCTCTGAAATCAATAAAAAACTATCTTTGAAATATTTTCATTTCAGTAACAAAAAAAAAAGAAAAAAGAAAACTAATAATGTTTGGGCAAAGAAAAGTTGAACGATATGAAACTATTGTAGATGAGACCAGTCTTAGAAATGCTCGTGCACTGTTGGTCATCATGAAACGAGGAGGAATCGATGCGACCAGGCAGAAATGCCAAGCTGGTCTCCACAAATACCACGGACAACCACGGCTTCGGTTTAATTTGGTTTCAGCGTGCAACATTTGTGACACGGATTATTCCGCTGGCCAGATTTTCGTTTGTGTTATTACTTTTTGCAAGAGACGTCAATATCAGGGAGCTGTCGCCCAAACTGGCTACTTACAGATGGCCAGATTTTTAATGATTGAGACGCGTCTTGCGCAGGGAGATAACTGAGGGCATCAGTTGTATAACATACAAGGGAAGCAACTTTTCTTTTTGAGTATTTTTTTAGGGTTTCCTAAAAGAATATTAAAAAAAAAAACAACAACTGAAAATGATAATTGAAGATAGATCATGCATATTCTTTAAAACTGAAATAGATCCGATGGAAATTCGATAACTTTTCAAAGCATTGACACATAATTTGTTGTAATTAACTTGGCACGATATTCGATTATTTAGTGCAATGATTTCACGCAGGTCAGCGTCAATGATTATACAGTGAATATAATAACACATACCCCCTATTATACACACAACCACACATAAAACATCCACACTACAGGATCATCCACAATACATCCACCATACGAACACCGTAACGCGTGAGCGACAAACACAACATATTAAACCCACATACATACAAACACGCACTTCTGTTAAATAGGACACACTTTGTGCTGTGGGGAATTTTAAGTGCACGTTTTCATCTTGTTGGTTAGTGAGGGGGGGGGGATGGAGGTGTGTGTGTGGTGGCTCGCGCCACTGGCACTTAACTAGAACCAGTTTGTCAGGTAGTAGGTATTTTACAGGTGCTAACATTTTCACACACTAAGTTGCGGTGACATACCTAGTCAACCACTCACTAAAGCATTTTAACTTTTTAAAACATTCACTCAAATATTTTTTAAAACTTTTTAAAACATTCACTATAATATTTTTTTTGAACTTTTTAAAACATTCACTCAAATATTTTAACTTTTCAAATGTTTGTGGTCAAGCTGTAAAGCTCTCAACTGTACCCGGACGGTTCAAATCCTAAATGCTACGTCCCGTCTGGTCAGATATATTGATTCAATTGTCCACAAAACAAGCTCATATACTTGAAATTCGTCTACTCTACTTCACCTGCGCCACAGGTGCATCGATCTCAATGTTACAGTTGTCAAGTGGCCTAAACTTAAGTCACAATAAAGAGATTCTCATGTCTTTACCAGACGTAAACACGACACCCCCCCCCCCCCCGTCCCTTCAAAGGACCTGTCATCGTTTGCTTGTGATCGGGGTATGTCAAACCATTTCCTACATACACAAAAAGAAAATCTCAGACATTCGAACATTTTCTTCAGAGGGCCGAGTCGTTGACACACTGTACACACAAGACAAAGGGGAAACCAGTGAAGCGTGACCCACGCCGGCAGTCCACGGCTGAATGAATGCGGCGAGACAAAAGATTTCGGGCCGGGTATCAGAAACGGTTAATTGCGACAGTCAACTATTCACTTTTGCTTTTTTATCGCCGTGCGAGGATTGAAAACTGGTTTTGTATCGACCGACTGGGATTAGCGTAACACGGGTTAGGGTTAATGAAGTCGGGTTAATAAATCGAGACGATCAATGTCTGTCAAGACTTTTTAAGACGGTGAAATGGAGGCTTTGGTCAAATTCTGAGAAGACTTTTAAGTAGAGCTAAATGGAAACTTTGTAATGTCCGTCACAGCGAGATCAGAATTTAATTCAGCGTCTGTTTAAGCCTACATTTGATCACTAGCGATGGTCAGCTCTTCGCGTATCTCGTGGGTTCGAATCCCGTCTTTAGGAGACGACAAACAAAGTTGACACTGTGATCGTCAGGTAACCATGAAGTCTGCTAGTCCCAGATCAAATCAAATCCAGTCTGTGCCAGTCGTGAATATGGTACTAAATCTACTTTACCTAACTATTAAATTACTCTATCAACTATTCTCTACCAATGATTGCTGTAAGTCTATTTATTTAAAAAAAAACAACTACTGCACTTAATCCCTAACTTAAAAAAAAGATTAAGTGAATATATTCCAGATATACTTAACATAACCAGATGATACTAAAAATAACATTTTCGAACATGAACTAATTTGTCAATAGCCAGTGAAGCGAAACCAAACCAATTCGATCGTGTGTAAACGTATTTCTTGGGATCAATGATGCGGAACTAAAACATAACGACATTTGTAAACGTTCAACACCTGCCCCACCTGTATCAGCCTAGTATTGATCAGGTCACCCAGCTCTCTGGGTTCGATCACAGACCCAGTGCAAACCGATTCTGTTCGTAGGATTTCACCGGCAACGGGAGAAAATCCTGGCCACAGGATGAGCTAGTTGCAGGAGATAAGTCAGCACAGTGAAGTCGCTAAAATATTCTCGCGAAAGATAATTCACAGCATAGTCTGGGTTCCCAGAAAGAACCGCAACGGAAAAAAGCG